AAAGCAACTCAAATGGTCTCATCTCAAAGATGGAAGTCTTCACTTTCTACTTGGCTAGCATGTGCAAGACTGGGAAAGATACTATGAATTTCTCCGTGGTTCTATATATCCAAATCTGTTGAAAAACTTCTGGATATATGCCTCAGTGAGCAGTGACGGTAGTTGCATTAACTCCAACATTCTTGGCCTATTTCTTACCATAATTGTCTCTGATATTGCTGAAGCCATCAAATGTCCAAATTTCAGGATTACCATAAAACAAGTTCATCCATCAATTTGTAGTAAACTCCCCTCACTCTTCAACACCTCTGTGAGATACGAACTCACTAAAAAAGAAACTCTTCTACCCCTAGCTAAAGTTTGATTTCATCTAATCTTGACAAACTTTCGTCCTCGTGGTGTTGCTAAGAACTTTCTATTTCACGAGGATCAGATCTTTCTCTACTGCTTACTGAATCGTGTCAAAATTAATCTGCCCCAAACTATATTCAATCATATGAAGGATTATGTAACCTCTTCAAGAGCTCTTACTAAATCCTGCATTCCTTATGGGCTAGTTATAACTGAACTACTCTTTAAAGCAGAAATAATTGGTATAGTTCATAGGATTAAAATGAGATCCGATATCGCGCTTGCTGATGAAAGATGCGCTATTCCGAAAGATGAAGATAACTAGGTGTCACCCGTGTTGTTTCTGTGTCTAGTTGTTCTAAGTTGTTTTAGTTGTTCTATCTAGTCTGTATTTCTTCTCTTTCAATCAATGAATTATATTTCTTGTGTTAATTACCTTCTAAGTTTAAATTTTCTCTACCTTTATTACCTTTCATTTTCTTTTCAATTAATATGTGTGATTTATATTCTCTCTATCACCTATTTTCTTCAACTAGTATTTTAATATTTTTCTGTCCCTTTATTACCTTTTTGATTTTTGACAAAGGGGAGGAAAGTAAAATGATATTTTGATAATATTTATTCTCAGAGTATTAAACTCAAAGATATAAAATTTTGTAGTTACTAACTGTTTGTTTGATGTTTTCTATCCAGGAACTCTAAACAAGTTCCATTGAGTTTATTCTAAGACAACTTCAAGATGAAGATCTTGATTCTAAGGTTGAAAAACTTATGGATGAAATCAACTCTGATTTTATACATAAGATGTAAACTTTGTGAATATATGAATATTCAAACAGATGTACCAAACACAATTCAAAAGTTATAAACTTTATGAAAGTAAGGTAATCTTCCTTGATATCATAGTGTTCAGAAGTTGTTAACTTTCTGAAAGTATGAAATTCAGACTTAAAGCTCAGAAGATGTACTCCTTTAAAGGGAAGACAAGTTAACATTTTGATGCATGCTCTCATACAGAGATGCCACTCAGAAGATATGCTCTGATATGTGTGCTTCAACAACGAACACTCTATTTAGAAGTTGTGAACTGTGTAAATATCTGATACAGTGGAATATATCAGATCAAACGCTGATGTTTGAGAAGTATAGTGTTTTGGTTGTGATATTATAATCAAGGAGCAGAAGTGTTGATACATGATGTATGGCATTATTTAATTAGGCTCAAATCAAGTTTTGATTCTTTATAAAGTGCTGATAGAAAACTAGGTTCTGAGATGAAAACCGTGTATTCTAGTCAGACTCAGAGGATTTGCTGTAGGGAAGTGCTACTTCTCTATTCTATGTTCCGAACACTCAAAATTTATTTTGCGAGTCTTGGGCTCAGGGTGAGACTCTGAACAAGCTTAAATGAAATTTTGGGTTTAACAAATTCAGGGGGAGTTGTGAGCTTAACTCTGAACTTGTCGATTAGGGTGATTACCCTATATAATTTGTTATATCAAAATACATGGTTTTATCATCATCAAAAAGAGTGAGTTGTAAGAATAAGAAGTGTTTCTACATATGGCCTTGTGATTTTGTTGATAACTTTACTTGTTATCTTAGAGAACAATTGTATACATTAATGATTTCGTTCTAGTGTGTATCTGCTGATATAATGTTATGACTCTGGTACAAGGTGTGTGTCATCATCAGGTTCTGAACATACACTCTGAAAGAAAACATGTGGTTACATGTTTTGTTGAAGTCAAACATTTGAACTTATCTTCTGTAACATGTCTAAGGAATGTTAGTACAAGAGGTTCTAATCATGACTTTATGGTTAAGTTGTGGAGGCCTTCTAAAGCTTTACTTCTATGTGTTACAAGTTTTGAAGATTATGAAGACGAGGTTCTGCTGAACAAGTTCTGATGATCTAAAGAAAAAAAATTCTTACAACCAAGTGCTGAAGACCCTGAAGACAAGGTTTTGTGTGACAGATTCTGAAGACTCCAAGACTTAGGTTCTAAGGCTTAAGAAAGATTCTTCTATAACAAGTTTCAACGTTCAACATTCAAATATCTGAAGCCTCTGAAGAAAAGAATAAAGTTCAAATGGTTAATATGTGATGTTGAACAAAAGGTACATAAAGTGTCTGTGACCTCTACCCTCTAGGATGGCGTAAGGACAATTCTTTATATTGTATTGTCAACCACTCTCATTTTGACCATTGTGAACAAAAATCTGGATTTACAATTATCTTTCTTTACTTAACGAATATCTGTATACAAGCTTAATAGAAAAATATTATTCATAGAAAAGGTGGAAAGCTATCATTGAACAGTGATAGAATACAAAAATATTATTTTATACCGTCTAAACTCTTACACCTTATTCTATCTGTTGGGAACTAACAATTGGTGCAGGAAAAATCCTCTCTATCCTCACAATGTCTATCTCTCTCTCTCTGTCAAATGCTATAAATGAAGATTTAAGATTCAAAGAAAAGTTGCCATTGTCGTTTGCCATTGACCATCAAGTTTCATCCTGTGAAAGGAAAACAGTGGATGCTGAAGATGTTAAAGCTGCAATACTACACATTCAGAAGACCACCAAAGAAGAGAGAAAATAAAGAAAGAGGATTTCAACAAGATGCCCTTCAACTATCATCATATGCATCTTGGATGAAACATAAGAAGCAAGGAGCTATTGCTCACAACTTTCTCAAAGAAGAAGAAGACTACAAGATGTTATTCAACTTTAAATCATATAGATCTTAGAAGAAGCAAGGAGTTTTTGCTCGTAGCTTGCTCAACAAGAAGATGAAGAAGAAAACTAGAAGATGTTACTCAACTTCTGATCATATAAATCTTTGTAGAACATTGTAATGAACACTGGAGTTATTGCTCATATAGTGTTTCTGTTTATATCTCTTCATGTAAATTGTTTTAACACTTGAGTTGTTGCTCAGAAAGGTGTTAAATAATATGTGCTTAAAACACTTGTGTAATCTTCTTAGAAGAAGCATTCATATAAACACAAGATTACCATCAACTGTTGTTGATTGATTCCTTGGGAGACTTGGTGAAAGTCAGGTCTCAAGAAGATAATGACTGCAGTAATTATGGAAAATCCTTATAGGAGATCTTGCAGAATCGGATTTTGTTGGGTCAATGGTAGTCATATCCCAAAGGAGGTCGTGTGAAGGTTAAACTCTTGTGAGATCACTGCTGGATATCATTGAAAGGAAATCCTAGTAGGAGATCTTGAGGGATCAAATTCTATTGGGTCAATGAACGTTATATTTGGTTGGATCACTAATGTCAATGTGTGTTAGTCACTGACAGTTGCTCGTGCAAATGTAATCAGTTTGGTTATAGTGGATTAAGTCATTGGATAAGGCGAAATCATCCTTGTATGAGTGAACATGAATAACCTAGTTAACGACGAACTCGAATAAAATACTTGTGTCATTTTCTCTCCATTATCCTTATATCTATTCCCCAGCATCATTGATATTTCTGTTTTGAAAGCTTTTAAAGCGAATGCGCACCCTCCTAAAACTCCTAATATCAAAGAAGTCATTTGGTGTCCTCCTCTCCATTTTTGGATTAAATGTAACACATATGATTCTTCCCTTGGAGTTGTTAGACCTGTTTCTTGTGGAGGTATTTTAATATCAACCTCTAGCTCTTGTATTGATGTGTTTGTCTCTTTTCTTAGACCTCACAATTCCTTATATGCCGAGTTTATGGGCATCATCCCGGCAATTGAATAGGAAATTGAAAGAAGATGGAGCTCTCTTTGAATTGAAACAGATTCTTTTATAGCTACCCTAGCTTTCAAGAATCGAAACATAGGACCTTGGAGCCTAAGCATTAGATGGTGAAATTGCATCTCAATGACCAAATCGATAAACTTTGTTATTTCTCACACTTACAAGGAAGGAAACTACTGTTCAGACATCCTTACTTTAATTGGTCTAACTCTTGACTCTTTTATTTGGGGGAATTTTCCTCCTTTAGCTATTAGAAGTGAGCTTGTCAAAAATATGTTAGGATAGGCAACATTGATTTTCCTAATTTCTTTTTGTTCATGAGGGTGTTGATCTTGGTCTTTCCTCTTTTATTCTCTTTTTCTTTCTTTAATACATAAGGATAAAGATTATATTAAAAAAAAGAACACTAACCTTTTCTCTTAAATGGGTTAACGATTCTTCAAATTATCATAGTTTTTTTAACAAAATATTATTGTTATAGTAAAAAATAATTTTAAATATAATAAAAAAAATTATATATAATTTTTATTTTATTTTTGATAAATAAATAAATAAATTATGTATCACAAAAGTGAACTTATAAATGATCAATCTTTTACACACATACAAAAGTCAATAATACATCCTGAATAATAGTTGAAAAATGAACAATAAAGATTTTTTCTCTTGTTCTATAGTATAGAGACCACAAGAATGTCTCGTGGTAGTTATCTCTCTCTCTCTTTCAGACATTTCGGCAACGCTTGAATGTTTCTTCACGTCCTCTTTTATTTTTCTTTCAATTAATAAAAATAACAAACAACGATAACAATAGTAACAAGATCATAATAATATTAATGATAATATAATAATGATAATAATAGAAAGAACAGAGTGATTGTGAAGCATAGTAATGGAGAAGTACCTGAGAGAAAACTTTTACGTGCAACCCAAACGACCCTCGGAAGACGCTCAACTCCGATGGAGATCCGCCGTATCCGTCGTCAAGAACCCTCGCCGTCGCTTCCGATGGGTTGCCAATCTCGCCCAACGTGCCGACGCCGAACAAAAACGCAAGAAACTCCAGGTTATCATTTTTCTCTTCTTTTCACTTTTTATTAAATCAAATATATTTCTCTTTTTTTTTTTACTATCGATCATCATTGTTTTTATTTCATCCAATTATCTACCTATTCCACTCTCCAAATCCGTTTCTGTTAAGATCAAAATCTTATTAGTTGTAATTCATTCCAATTTTTCTTTTTCTTTTCAAATTGTTTGAGATTTATACAAAAATGAGGAAATTGGTATTGTTACAAAATTGGACCAATATAAATTCTACAAAAAATAATGATAATTATTAGAAACTAAGATTTTCCCACAATCTTAAATTTTTGTTTTATTTTTTAAGAGTCCAGTTATAACGTCTCCATCTCAAAATATATGTCTTTGTACTAATTGCTGACAAATTACAAAAATGATAAATTGAATATTAACAAAAGAAACCATGAATGTGTAGCTTTCCTTAAATTAGGAACATTAGCATTGGAAAGAGGAGTCTTAATTTTTTTTTTTTGTGGCTATACTTAAATTAGTCACATTCAATTAAGACACAATAATTAAGATTTAATTATATTTTTATAGTTGTAAAGATTTTATAAACTCTATTAAATACGTTTTAAGTATGACATTTTTTTTAATATTTCAATGATATTATAATATTTCCTACTAAAATAAGTATAATAAATACTTTTACACTAATTAAAAGATTATAATAAATAAAATAGAGAATAATTTTATTAAAGTATCCTCGTTATTTATTAATGTATTCTAATTATTACTAATGTAATGTGAAAGAAATAATAAATTAGAAGTATTAATTAGAAAATATGTAATTAAAAGATAAAAATTAAAATTATATTAAAACTAAAAGCTACACTAAAATTATGTAAGAGAAAGCTATGTTGTGTGAAGCATGCAGTATAAGTATAAATAGGAGAGTTGCAAATTTTTTATTTAGAATGCTACAAATAATAAAATAGTTAGGTAATTTAAAATAATAAATAAATATTTATCAATAAATATATTATTATTATTATTATTATTATTATTATTATTATTATTATTATTATTATTATTATTTGAAAATAATAAATAATATTTGAAAGATAAAAATTGGTTTAGTTTCTAACATTTCACACCTTAAAAAAAAAGAGTCATATATCCATCATTTTCTAGAAGTTATAAAAAAACAACCATTAGAATGTGTTAATTTTTTTAGTGGTTAATGAAGAATGAAATGTTGCTTCACTTATATATAAAAAATTTAACTAATCATTCATTTTCGATTCAAATTTTCGTATGAAATAATCTTATTTTATCTTTGCTTTTAAAAGGAATTCTGAATAATTCTTCAAGTTTTTTAAGGAATTCAAAATCGTGTCAATCAAATTTAAAATTTCAGATCAAATCAAGTAGATGTAACATAATTGGAACTTATATTCTCTCTAGTGAAAATCAATGGCCATAGTTTTATTGGAAAAAAACCCCACGGGAGACAATCTTCTCCCACATAATTGTTGGTATATTATAAGTGATATATGATAAATTATATTGTTGTAGAATTTAGAATAAGAAAATATTTTTTTGTCACGTTTTGTACTAAATTTTCACTGGTGGAGGTTAGACTTTGAAATATCCTGATTTTATTGAGTTTACCACACACTTTTTCTCTGCTACAATTTAGCATTACAAAGCCTTTATATAGGCTTGAAGGAAACTGACACAGAAGATAATAAATTGGTAATCAAGATGAAAGCTTTTTGGTTCTCTCAATCTTAACTCTACCATAAATCTAAATAAATACAATAATTATAATGTGATTGTTACAATTCTCTCATAATGCTTACTAAAGATAGTGGTGGTTACAACACATTAATTTTAACACTTCCCTTAATGTGTTGCTCTTTAACTCACATTGCTTCTCTAAGTTGCTAAAATCTTTCTCTTGGTAGTGCTTTAGTAAAAATATATGCAAGCTGCTCTTGTGAACTGCAGAAAGCTAATTGCACATCACCTTCTTCAATCACACTTCGAATGGAGTGATACTTTATGTTAATATATCTGGTTCGACTATGAAAAACAAGATTCTTTGCCAATGACAATAGCTGATTTGTTGTCACAATGAAGTTGTAAACTTCTCTCTTGCTTCTCTCAAATGTCTTCTAATATTCCTCTCAACCAAAGTGATTAATGTGTAGCCAAACCAGCTGTTAAATACTCAGCCTCAGCTGGAGATTGTGCCACATTATTTTGCTGCTTCGAGCACCAAGAAATCACATCTGAACACAAGTTGAATACATAACCTGAAGTGCTCTTCATATCATCAACACTTCTGACCCAATCACTATCACAATAGCCTTTAGCTTCAAGTTTAAAATCCTTCTCAAACCTGATTCCATGCTCCATGGTTCCCATGACATACCTTAGAACTCTTTTTGCTGCCCCAAGATGTAAATGACTTGGTTTACTCATGAATTTTGAGAGTAAAAAAGCAGTAAACATTAAATCGGGCCTTGAAGTTGTAACATAAAACAAGCTTCCAACCAAAATTCTATACGTGATTGCATCTACTAATCTTGAAATTTTGGCTATCAGATTCTGGATGTCCTACGAGATATCAAGACACCGGATCCGACTTCACACACAACAACAAGATGTATAAACAAGAATAGCAGTGCTGAAAGAAAATAACACAGAATATGTTTACTCAGTTTGAAACAACTTTCCTACTCTGGGGGCTACCAAACCAGGAATAAAATTAATTAGATAGTATCAATTTGCAGACCTTACAGCAAACCTCCAGTTTACAGACTACGAACTTAATCACTACCATTTGCTTAACTTTTATCTAAGACACACCTAGGTATGAGACCCTCCTCAAATACCTCTTCAATTACACTCAGCAATTGGAGAAAACTCTAAACACAAGTAGAGATGAAAAACAATCAGAGGTTATACTTCCAAAATACACAAGACTCGATGCTTAAAAGCTTATGAGAATTGGCACACAATATGTTCAATGCTTAAAAGCTTCTGAACATCTAACAGGAAACTTACAAGCCAACAATAAGAATTCTAAAAACCCTAACACAAATACATCCGTAAGTTCCACCTAATACTAGGTATACATCTGTCTATTTATAACTTTATTCTAGACTGGGCTGGGCTTCAAAACCGCAACAGTGAGGCTGCACAAAGTCTGCCAAAGTCTTCAATCATTAGTTTCCTGATAAATCTCCATATTTAGAAAATAATCAAATATTCGAAAACCAATCAAAGAATATTCTGAATTATCAATCTTGGATGCCACATAAGCTAACTGAATATTTCCTGAATATTCAATAGCTACAAATTAGTTGATTCACACTGTCAGCTTACTGTAGACGCGGTTTCCTATCTCCTTGTTGGGACATCTTACTCGATATGTTGAAACAGAATGTTGAAACATCTTGTTCAACATGTTGCTGCTAAAATGGTTTTACCAAAATGTAAGCCAACTATAATTTCAGAGAAATAACAAATCTTCCACCATCTCCCTTCTTTAGTTTTTCATTCACCACTAAAGGAATATCAACAGGTTTGCAACCATACATGCCAAACTTTTTCAAAATAATTCCAGCCTATCTCTTTTGACAAATAAAAACTCCATATTCATCTTGATAAACCTCAATACCAAGAAAATGATGCAGCAGGCCAAGATCACTCATCTCATATTTTTTCATCATTTCTATTTTAAAATTTTTAACCATTTACTTATTGTTACTTGTATACACCAAATCATCAACATAAAGAGCAACAAGAAGGATATCATATTTACCTTGATGTTTCACATATAAGGTAGACTCACTTTGACTTCTTTGAAATCCTTTCTAAATGAAGTAGTAGTCAATTTTAATATACCACACTCCAGGGGCTTGTTTCAACCCATAAAGAGCTTTCTTAAACTTGTAAAATTTTTTATCTTGGCCTTTAGTCACAAATCCTCGAGGTTACTGCACATACACCACTTCTTTTAATTCTCCATTCAAGAAAGCTGAATTCACATCAAGTTGGTAAAAATTCTAACCCTTTCGAGCGTCAAACGTAATTATTGTTCTCACAGTGTCCAAACATGCAACGAGAGAAAAAGTCTCACTATATTCAATTCTAGGCTATTGTGCATAGCCTTTGACTACTAATCTAGCCTTGGCTCTTTGGATTGAACCATCTGGATTATGTTTCGATTTCCTATGTCATTTTTCTTTTCAACTAGCTGCCATGTGTTATTCTTCTCAATTGCATTTATTTCTTCTTGCATCTCATTCCTCCAAACATATTTTTTGATTGCTTCATCAAAATATTTTGGTTCCACAACACAATAGTTGCATCATGCATAAATATCACTCAAGTCCTACAATTTTATTGGAGGTGAGCTGTGAGATGATGAAATTGAAATTGGTGAACTTGGAGAGGATGAAAAACTTGGTGTACATGGGGTTGGTTGCTCATTTTCTACTGTTGAATTTTGTTGTAATAAAATTGCAAAGTCCGTTTTCTCCTTCGTTTTGTCTTCTTCCCAATTCCAAGAAGTCTTCTCATGAAATACAACATCCCTGCTAAGGATCACTGATCAAATAAATATCAAGTGTACTATTTTTCCTCTGCAATAATAATGAGGAAATCTTCCCGAATGTCGATCTCAAGGATTACGTACAAATATGGAGTTCGAATTGTTGTTCAATTAAACAGAAACTAGAGTATGGGTTTGATTTGGTAAAAAAAAGTGCGAATAAAATAAAGAGATGCTAAGGATTGTTTTGACAGATATGGGTAACATGCTAGGGTAAAGTGTATGATTTTCCTTGTAACAACCTTGAATCCTGATTTCTTAAACAAGTTCAAAATACTTAATTACCAGATATTTAGTTTATTTTCCCCTAAGTCCTTAGTGGGAAAACCTTTGAACATTCATCCTAAATCCTAAGTCCTTAGAGAATTATGATAAAATCAAGCCTTTATTTGATCAAGAATTACCTGGTAACATAT